ACTCATTTTAGTCCAACAAAAATGAGAATTAAGTCCACTAACGAAGAGAAGTGTCAAACAAGAAGTTGTTTTGGGCATAAGAAAGATGTATGCCCTTGTAATGAACCTTCGAAGAGATTAAATCATTTAGCATAAAAGGTCTCTTTCTCATATTTAAACAACACTTGGTTGAAACAACTCTTACAAACAAAGAGAAAATCAAGAAAAAAGGAAGATTGCAGAGATGATTTGAATAAGTGTGAGAAAATGTATGAAAAGCATAAAATGAAAGCTATCAACTCAAATAGGTTGGTGACTAAGACCTAAACCACCAAACCTATGAGCACAATTACACTACAAGCATGCTATACAAAGCATAAATGAAATAAACACCGTAAAATAGTCCTAAAAATAGCTAAAACGATGCTGGAATTGAGTTGAAAAATGCTAGAAAAGTAAGCTAAAATAATGGAGAAAAGAGGTTAGTAAACAAGCTTAAGAAGGGGTGGCTAACCCCTTCACTTTTGAGACTTCAAAACCACTTTTTTAGCCTCTGAAAAAAAATCTAAAAATTAGTAGGAAAAAGTTGAAAAATAGATGGGAAACACAAAGGAAAAAACTTGAAAAATAAGGTTCAAAGAAGGGTGGTTAACCCCTCTACCTTGGATAGCTTTAAGCCATAAGTTTCAGCTTATAAAAACAGTGAAAAATAGTCCAAAAACAGCAAGTAGAGATAGGGAAGAAGTAGTGCAAATAAGCTAGAAGCTATACCTCTTGAAGAGGAATAACCCTTTTATTCACAAACCCACAAATCCTCACCCTCAAGTGTTGAAATTTAAGATCAAGAACCTCAGCAAAGAGCCTTAAAAATTTGGTTTACGGAGTATAGATAGAGAGTGTATAGGTTGCAAGAGAGAGAGTGAGAGATATTCAATAATTTTGCATTTCACAAATTTTTCTAACCTAAAAACATAAGGTATGGCTCTCTATATATAGAACAACTGGTTGATATCTCAGAAATATCTGTATTAAGCCAGTTGGTGCAATGCATAAACATAGGGGAACAATTGGCAGTAAATATTTGTTCTATCAGAACAGCTGGCCAGCCGGCCAGGAGAGGGATGGCCGGCCACTAATTTCTGGCCAGCCAGCCACTAGTTGGTCTGCAAGCCTCTGAGTGGTCAGGCTTGAAAAAAATTTGTTTTGGTCCAATAGTGGTGCAAGGTTTTTAGGCTTCTGAGACTCAAAACCGAGGCTTCTTGTTGAGGAAATCGAGCATTTTTACAATGTATAAATTCATCATTGGGTAATCAATCTGAGGCGCCCAAGTCTTAAGGACGGTAAAAAAATGGAGTGTCTACACAAGGATAATTCTATTTACACACTATAAAAAAAATATCAATACACGTCTGTAGCGAGCTTTTTGTGCTCCTTTCAGATACGACTAGCCCTATAGTTCGGACTCCTGTAGTTCTGAATCTAATTTCACAAATGCAATGTGAAACAATGAAAACACAAAAAGAGTCCAAATTCAGTAATTCTTTTGGAAAATCGATTTTAATAAAAAAATGCCAAAAATGGACTGCATTACCAGATTTTAGAGTCGCCACCTAAATATTTTTGCTAAATTTAGGAAACCCGTGACTCATGTCAAAAGCCACTTATCCGTCATCACCAAAGTGTCTCAGCTCGGGAACTTAGGTATGAGAGGGGAGGTCATGAATTTAGCACCCTACTCGCTCGATTGAAGATTAGCATCTACTAATCATGATGTGATTCTTATTTACATTATATACTCTTGTTCTGATTATTAGACTAATATTACTATGTGTTTCATAAAAGTATAGACTAATTTGCAAAATTTGGAACGCTTTGATTTCATGTTTGTTTGAAAATTATTTTTGATACTCGTTACTTGAAAAAAATCGAGCTTATATGTACATTTATCAATTGATCTCAATTTTAGCAATTAGCCTTCATCCACATGCATTCAAACAAGTATATCACTTAAACACTTAGCCTCACGGAAATCATGCTTGATATGGAAACATAAACATTCAATGTGATATGCTAAAACAATAAGTGCTAACCTAGTACTCCAAGGCAAGTCAAATAGAGAAAAATGATTAGAAAACATGCATGTTCCTAAACCATACAACGTGACTAATGAAACGCACACATTTATGCCACTTTTATGGGCTCGGCGATAAGCATGGTATATGATCTAATTCCAAGACATGTGATAAATCATGTATTCAAACAATGAAAGTGAAATTGACATTGGTCAGTATGATGAGCCGAACCCAAATGCATGTGAGACGATTGCTTGCGAATATGAGAAATGTTAAGAAATATGATGCTCTACACTACCATTATAAACAGGTAAATAAAAAAGAGAAAGGAATGGGGATTGGAGGACATTTATGTTATTACATATTTTTCCTTATGCAAGACGATCCGAATGAATGTCCAATTGTCCAAATTAAACTAACTATTATAAAACCAAATAAATGAATAAACAACTAATTAGCTAAGTTATTACAACAAAGACTAATAATAAGCATTAAGCTAACTATCTAATTTATTACAATAAGGATGAACAATAAAATAACCTATCTATGTTAATCAATAATGAACATTCATAATCATTACAGTAATGCTAATTATATTTTAATTATAACGATAATGAGAGCATTAATTTATAACATCTAATAGAACCAAAAAGCACAAGGACGTCATGCATGTGACGGTTTTCAGAAGCAACTTTGTCTGTCTTCCTTGGAATTTGCCTTGTTTCACCTTCAGTCACTGTCCTCTGTTTTTTGCAAAACACTCTGTTTACTAAACATTGGGGCCCGACCGACCCCCAATGAAGCCCGGTTGGGCCCAAATAGGGCCGGTCGTGCCTTAATTTCGTGCAAAACTCTGTTTTTGTGTTTTGAGGTGAAAACAATGCAGACAGAGTTTTTTGAGCCCTGTTTGTCCCTTTTACACTTCTCTGTCATGGAAAGCCTCAAGAGAAGAATGAAATTGTTTCTAAAACCATCAATGAGCAAGTAGTTTGCTTAATGATTTCGGCCACGATTTGGACAAAAATCAATTAATGCAATGAATCAGCACCAACCCTTCCCATTTTTCATAGTGTGAGCTCAAAATGGGAAGTAAAGATGCTTCAAGGGTCATCAAAACACCATGAATTGATGTGCGATGACTCTTGACACAATAGACTCGGCATAACGTCTGACTGAGCCCAAGCGACCTTATTCATTTTCTTTATGTAGGTTGATTCAATTTTAAGCCAATTTCATTAGTTTTATCCATTCTTTAATCCATTTGTCCAAGGTGATGGTTAAGTCTGCTAAATGAGAAGAACATCAAGCGAGAGGTACTCGTAAATATAAAGAAGAGACCACGCATTTTACGATGAACTTGTGTAGAGATTAAGCCATTGAGCATAGGTCTCTAGCTCATATTTTGAATAACCATCAACCGGTTGAAATAACTCTCAAACAAGAAGAAAAGAAGAAATGAGGGAGATTGCAAACATGATTGCGAGATTGATTCTTAATTAATCATAGAAAAGCTACCGAAACATGCATAACATAACATAACAAGCTAGATGTGAAGACTTATAATGCAACAAGCTTTGATATTCATGCATATACTAATTAAACAAATTGCAATAGCTCTAAAACAACCCCTCATATGCTAAAAACAATGACCGAAAAGCATGTTAGAGACCATAAAATGGTAGGCAAGAATAAGGCAAAGCAAAGCTAGTGAACCAAAAACAAGGAGAGGTCGCTAACCTCTCTATTTTTGAGAATTCAAACCATATTTTTTTAGCCTCTTCCAAGCTTTGAAAATCAATTTAAAAGGCAAAGAAGAAAGTGTAAAAACAAGGGCTTGAGCTATGAAATAAGGTGCAAGAGAAGGTGTTAACTTTCTCTACTGTTTGGTACCTATCCAAACCCAAGTTTAAACACTTAAAAGGGATTCAAGACAGCATAAAAACACAAGAAGTAGATAGCAAGAGATAGAACAAGAAGCAAAAGAGAAGATGGTAAGCTTATACCTCTCAAAGAAGTAAGCTCTTGTTTGTAACACAAACTTGGTTCAAGCACACTCTCAAATTTGAATTGTGATGCTCAAGCTTCAACCAAAGTTCTAAGGTTATGATCTAAGGTGATATATGGTGTATAGATATTGATCAAGAGAGATAGGTTGGCTCAAAGGTGACAATAAGGAACTCTCTCTTGTGTGTATATGTTCTTTTGAAATTTTTCAACCCTCAAAACAGAAGTATAACCTCATTTTTATAAAATTTGAGCAAAACAAGTCAAAAATATCTTCAAAAAATGACAGCTGGCGGGCTCGTCCAGAATAGTGTGTATCGCCAATGAGGCACGACCGGCTCCCAATGGGGCACGGTCGAGCCCTAATGTGCTGTCCCACTCCCCTGTTTCAAACTCAATATAAGGTGGCACAATGGTAAAAAATGAACCTTTGAGGTAAGAATGAGACAAGTAGGAAGGTTTTGGGATTATTTCGGGGCTTGACCTTGGATTTTCCTACCGAGAACCCGAATCACACAATGCAGTTTTCATCATCGAGTGTGCTGGACCAAGCCTCTAAATCTTACGGGTAGTCAAAAAAGGGATGTTTACAACGCCATTTATATTGTTCAGAGATAAACTTCCAAATAAAAGTCAAATGTTTAAATATAAACTTATGAACAAAAAAAAAAATTATTTGAACATAAACAATGAAACCAAATATATATTTGAAAATTTTATTTTTGTTAACAATTTATGTCCAAACATTTATTTTTTGTTTAAAAATTTATATTCGAACAAAATAAATTATGTATTGAGATTTTCTTAAAAAAATTACACATTAAGGTGTTTTTAAAAATAATATTTACACGATCACAAAAATATCTATGATTTAACATTTTAATACTTATCACAAAAATTAAACATTTTTGTAATAAAAATTATGATACATCCATGTCCCGCCCTCAACGGACTCTCTCTCTCTCTCTCTCTCTCTCATCCCCTTATATTGACGATGAAAGTTTGGAACACTCTCCGGTAAAGCCCCTCTCCTAATAAATATCTTCAACATTCCAATTTTACCCTCCATATTCCCTTGAATTCTCCAAAATTACCATCCGCCATGTTCATGCTCGTCAACTGCTCTCACTGCCATACCCCTCTGCAGCTGCCTCCAGGTGCCAGATCGATTCGCTGCGCTATTTGCCAAGCCATCACTCACCTCGCCGATCCCCGCACCATTCCGCCGCCGCCGTCGTCGGAGTTTCCGCCGCCGTCGGAGTTGCCCTCCCCTCCTCCTCCGCCGTCTCCGTACAACCACACCCCGCCGGGTCCTCCGCCATCGGCGCACGGGAGGAAGAAGGCCGTGATCTGTGGGATATCGTATAAATACTCGAGGCACGAACTCAAGGGTTGTATAAACGACGCCAAGTGTATGAAATTTCTCTTGATCAACAAGTTTCAATTCCCCGAGGCTTCCGTTCTCATGCTCACCGGTACGATTCTCTCTCTCTCTATCGGTTCAATTCTATTCCTTTATATATGTGTTCTTGTAATTTGGAGATTTGGATAAAAAATTCTGCAACTTTTTGTTTGGTTCTGTTAGCAATTTTTTATTTTATTTTATAATCTTTATCTAAAAAGTTGTTTTGCATGAGTTTTGAATGTTTTGATGTTGATTGACATTCAATTCAAGATTCTTAGATGGAAAATTTGAACTTCAGGACATTTTTTTTATTATGTCACTATAGATATGTTTGAATGCGATTGTTGATTTATATTCTAGGAGACAAATTTTCGAATTGGAATTTGGAAGATTCATTATTGTGAGGCACATATAATGATGCTGGAATCTCAGAAAGAATATTGGAAAAAGGAAAAAGAAATGGAGCAATGTGGGCCTTAAATATTGATGGAGAGGAGAAAAGAAAATAACTTTGGATATTACGATTGTGTTTCGCATGAGGCTCGTTGGATCTGAGCGCTTGGATGTGACAGGACTGAGTGTAGCCTAACGTGATTGAAAATTGACTTCTAATCAGTAGATTGAGTGTGGTCGGTGGTTCTTTGCTTGTCTCAATGAAAAGGGTTTAAAATTTCTTAGGCGTTGAAAAGAAAAAGGAACATGGACAAACACTGTAAATAGAAGGCGAGGGAATTGCATTCAAAGTAATTGATTATTATAGTACAATGAACTAACTTAACACTAATTGAAAGTTGAAATGACAATTGGAAATTGAAGAACGACTTGATGAAAATTAAAAGATAAATGAAATGATGTTGAGTCTTGAAAACTATGTTGCTTGGTGGTGTCGTTTATGGCCTCTGACTTTATTCTTGCTAAGCTTTGTTAGATTAGACATTTTTAAATGGACGTTTTCAATTGGGGTTCTGTATGAGGCTTGTAAATTAAAGTGAAATGCAACTTTAGATAAGCTGGAAGATTCCATCTTTTGGATATCCAGTTAATAGGTCAAAACCTGAAATCATTGTCAGTAGTTTCTATCTTGTTGCTTAACAAGTTAACACTGCTAGTCTTGAGGGGAGATACATGAATAATTTCTTTAAGTGTTTGGGGGGGGAAGTTGTACTGTATCTGTTCAACCTGACAACTTCTTATGTGATTCTCCAATTTTCCTTTTTACATCGCTTGGACTGAAAGTTTTATTAGGGTGTGAAGGAGGAAAACTGGAAAAAAGTACCCATTTTAATCTTACAGATGTATTGGGTTTAATTACTTGTTTATAAAATTCTGTTTATTTCATATACTTTCCTAGCAACCAAATCACCGTGAACCAAATTTCTTGCCGAATCAAGTTTCGGTCAAGTTTCAATAAATGTTGTCCATTAAAATTTTTCATTTCCTTTTTCTCGCCAATAAATATTTTTCAAATACCTTTAACGTTTATGCTACAAGGTTTACTTATGATAAGTTTATGTCCTTGAAGAGTGATATATTTCATAGGCATGGTTTTTTCCCTTTTGTCCTAAACATATGCAATACTTTTTCGTGGATTTTGAAATGCAGAGGAAGAAACTGATCCATACAGAATTCCAACTAAACAAAATATGCGGATGGCATTATATTGGCTCGTACAAGGCTGCCAACCGGGTGACTCCCTTCTGTTTCACTATTCTGGTCATGGTTCTCGGCAAAGGAACATTAGTGGTGATGAAGTTGATGGTTATGATGAAACTTTGTGTCCTCTGGACTTCGAAACTCAGGGTATGATTGTCGATGATGAAATCAATGCAACAATTGTTAGGCCTCTTCCTTATGGCGTTAAACTTCATGCAATAATAGATGCTTGCCACAGCGGCACTGTATTAGATTTACCATTCCTTTGCAGAATGAACAGGTGGGTTTATATTACAATGTTCATAGTTTGAATTGTAATATTCTTCTATCTTGTCACTCGATCGTAATTTGTTTTTTCACCTTAGAAACCGCAGCTTTTTAAGGAGAGAAGCATTCAGTGCATTCCCATTCAGCTAGTAGTATGAATTTCCAGATTTACCCCTCTATTGACACTGTTTGATGCATTCACACTCAATTAGAGAGGATCTTGTGGCAATGCTGCAAACTTGTGTGCCTTGATTTTTCAAAGTAGACATTTACTCTGGCTCATTTTAGGGTCGAAAAATCAGCCAGAAATTGGAACAAAGGGAATTTTTGTTTTCAGTCGGAGATTGTAACCAGAAACACCAAAGGCTTGAAGAGATTTCTAACCTGTGATTATGATAGATCTCAAAGGGTTTTTGGTTTTTGGTCTTTGTTTTTTACCTTTTTCCTTTTTAATCAAGTTCTGCAACAATTAGTACCCATCGCAGGGAACTTTATGTACATCATGCTTATTATTACGGCTAGTAGCATTTGGCCTATTGTTACAAAATCAAAGGCAGTATGAGACACGGGGATGGGAAAATTATAACTCATAGTTTTGGCTATGTAGTTTCAAATTTCAATAATTTTGGCTCATTCACTAATATAACCAACATAATATAAATCTAAATTATTTATGTAGATTCCCAAATTATTCTTTCCTAAAACAAATCATGTTTAAACTCAAAACTATTCAGTCAAGGTTAATTTTTTGGAACACATTGTGCTCTCCCTATATTTAGAATCATTCATACATCTTTCATGGATGAGTTTTTCAAAATTCTGTTCATACCAACGGTGATCTTTATTTCAAAGAGTTCATAGCTGCGACAAGTTTTCCACACAACCCAACAAAGTCTTACTCCAAATATTTGGGGTCTGGTGCATGAGTCCTATTTTGCCATCTCACATCTACTAATAATAGCTATCTAGTGTTAATTATGTTTTTTTGGTAAGGTTGCAATTATAATTATATTTCTTTCATTCTTCAAAAATAGGATGGGCCAGTATGTATGGGAGGACCATCGCCCTCAATCAGGTGTATGGAAAGGAACGAATGGCGGTGAAGTCATTTCCTTCAGTGGTTGTGATGATGATCAAACCTCTGCTGATACAGCTGTAAGTTTCAGTCAACCTGATTAGACCCTCCTTAATATTTGCATTGCCAAAGGCATTTATTTAGTCAGACGAAGGAAAAGATTCAAGCTAATGTTTTTATGGGAACAGGCTCTTTCTAAAATCACTTCAACAGGTGCGATGACTTTCTGTTTCATTCAAGCCATTGAGCGTGGGCATGCGACAACATATGGAAGCGTACTGAATTCTATGCGTACTGCTATCCGAAGTGTGGGGAATGACGTTGGAGGTGGTGTGGCAACATCCCTTCTCAGCATGCTTTTGACAGGAGGCAGTGTCAGTGGTGGTGGCTTGAGACAGGTATTTTCTGTGTTTTAATTATTAATCATGAACTTTATTTGGATACTGTCTTAACCCCAATCCATCATGAAGCATGGATATGGGGGCCTACTCACCATAGGTACCCCTCAATTTTTGTCATGTTGAATTCCCTTGATGGAGTCCAATGCTAGTCATTTCATAAATTAGGTTGTTGCTTTGCTTTGTTCTTGATGTTGTTCTGGTGGTGTGGGTTTTCTTTGAGTTTGCGTGCATGCCTGCGTGGAAGAATGGCCTTCCTCTTAGTCCTCTGCTGGGTGTGGTGTGATTGGGAACTGAACTTGTGGAGAAATGGGGAACTGGAGTTGTTCTCAGTCATGGATGAGAGCAGCTGAATATGGGATTCTAGAGTGAAAAATAATATATATTGTTTCGAACCATGGTTGTTGGATTCTTATGATTTACTATTTGATACAAATTTCAACCAAAACAATTCAAATCATGTTGTTAAATCTTGAGTTGAGTGAATCATACGATTCACTGCAATTTAATTCTATTTGCATAATGCACGAAATAACTTGGGTTGCGTTTGGTAGAGCTTTGTAATTATGATTTGAAAGTATGAGTTGTATTTTGAGTTTGTAAGGTTTGGAATTATAATTTGAGTATGAAAAATTTATTTGGTAAAGAGTTTTGAAAAGAGTTTTGAATTGAGTGGGGAATTATTGATGTGACATTTGATATTTGATACAAAAATTTACAACTCATAACCAAACATACAACTCAAAATTATTTTAAAAAATTTTAAAAAATTCAAAAAATGTTTTTTTCGCATATATAAAAATTAATATATCAATTGAAAAAAAAAAAAATCACTATTCCGGTCAACCGGCCGGACGACCGGTTAGGCAAAATTTGCAAAAAAAAAAATTCTGAAAATCGCGCCTGAGACAGAGTTATCTGCAGAGTTTTGGAAACGTGATTCCAAAACTCGTTCCAAACATCATATTTAAATGTAGGTGTAAAATTACGTTTTCAAAACACAACCAAACATAGCCTTGGTTTTCGCAAAATAAAAAAAGAGATCAATTATTATATTGACATGCATGATTTTATGTTTATGTACATAAATATAATTTAGTTATATAGATATTTATTTCTTTTTAAATGCTATGGATGTATTTGTATATTGTATATGCATATGTAAAATTATATATATTTTGGTAAATAAAGTGAAACTTAAATTCACAATTCAATACAATTCACGATTCGTTATTTTTAGCAAAATGATTCATGATTTGACAACAATGATCTTGACTTATACAAAATAAATAAAGAAATAACATACATGTAACCTGAAAACACCTTTTAGTGCTAGACAAGTACATTTAGTTATACATGCGCAGATAATTTTTGAGATGCACACTTGCGTACAAAACCAACTGTCATGCAGATGATCAACATAAGATAGGGAAACTACATTTAGAGGAAGTATTCATCTAAAAAATATATGGAATTGGGAAAAGAAGGAAAAAGGTGATGTTCATGTGCATTTTTTTGTTTGGGATTGTTATGTAAAGTTGACTTAATTAGCTTAATATGCCTTAATAAATTATGGGTTTGCTGGTTTGGTTCATGTCGCCCAAGTTAATGGATGAGAATTGGTAATGGTTCATTCAATTTTCCTTAACAATAAATATGTTGGAATAGTTCCCCCCTGAAAACTATTTAGTTTCCCCTGGAAACTATTGAGGATAATGAACAAGGTATTTTCAATTGCAAGTGCAAATTTGCATGATCACACATCTAAGAATCATGGATAAGGATATGTGACACGACATGGGCACGTCAACACGAAAATTTTCAAAAAAATACATGACATGATACGTGGGGGGGCACGTGCAAAATATATAATTTTATGTATTTATTATATGCCATATATAAGGATAAATAATTATTATGTCATATATATGAATATTTAAGTAAAAGATAAATTTTAAAGAATAAATGAGGAGAATATGTATGAATTTATATATATATATATATATATATATATTTTATTATTGGATTCCAAGTTTGAAGGTAAAAACTAAATTTTAAATTATGAATGATGAGAATATGTATAAATTTACATTGTTTTTGTTTTGTTATTGGATTTCAAGTTATTTTATTCGAACTTGTAATGTGTTTGACTATTAAAAAAGTGCCATGTCATGTTGGTGTTGGAACACGTTGCTGTGAAGTGAAGTTTCACATCTCCTAGGTATGTGAAGTATATAAGCGTTGATTGCATCCTCACCTCAACAACTAGCTTTTGGGGTTGAGTTTTACCCAAGTTTGTGTAACAATTACCTTCTTAGAAGTGTCTGTGCTTCTTTGGCGCACACACATTTCAATGACATCTCTATATTGAATTTTATGCCATGCACTGGAAAGTTTCTGGTGATCAGCTTCGTTTCATTTTCTAACAGGAGCCACAGTTAACAGCTTGCCAGGCATTCGATGTGTATACAAAGCCATTCTCATTGTGACTTCGGCATAGTGGCATTTGGGATTGTCTATAATTACAGATCAGTTTATATATATATATATATATACATATCGGGATGGTGCTTTCTTTTATTCCTTTTCTCTGTTTGTGTGGGTTTGGGGGGTGGTGGATTTCTTCACGTGTTGTGGAAAACATATTTGATTCAATTCATGATTATAGAATTAGTAAATAATATTTTGAGAGGGGTTTTCTCAATCAGAAATATATTATTGTGATTATTATGTGGTTTTGTACATGAAATTCGAATTTTTAGAATTTGCAGCATTATTTTGAAATTTCTATTTCTTCGAAAAACAACTAGATGATGTGAGAGAGACTGAGTCTGGCATTTTCATTCTATTATTGTTGAAGCCTGGTTTAGGAAATTTTGCTTGAATAGAATAGAGAGCCAAGTCGTGTGCTGTGATTAGGCTGAAATACGATTGCCAATCTCAACAATGATTTCAATCCCTAATACTTGCGGTAACTCAATTTGAGGGTGGTATTTATGATCTTGATGTTATCCTGCTTATCGTCTCTCATTCACCTCGGTCATTGTCACCGCTGGCCCATCCCTCTTCTCTTTCATGTCCTGCAACTCTGGCCGCCACTGCTTCTCTTCTACTACCTCTTCATCCTCCACCGTCTCTTTCTTCTCTTCTCCCCCTCCTACCATCCAATTGAGCAAACATTGATTACATACATGCTCAAATATATATACACACATTCAAATAATAGGCGCCTTTCTTTCTTTATTTCTTCTTTTATTGATAAGAAGTCCTAAAATTTGACCCTCAAATTTTGGAATTACATGAGGATTTGTGTTAATTGAGGAAGAGTTGGGGTGTTTTTTAACCTCAAGATTGCATGAATTTGCGAGAATTTATTGTTATTTTTCCCAAATTGAATGTCTTGTGAAATTGATGTGTTATATATATATATATATATTTTAGGGTAAATTACATTTGACATCCCTTGAGGTTTATATTTATTACAATTTCATCCTTCACCTTTTAGAAATTACATCCCCACCACTGAGGTTTAAAGTTTCATAACAGTTTCTCTCCTCACCGTAATGATCACCATACATAAAATTAAATTAACAGGGGGGGTCTGTATAATATTTCAAATATGAAGGGAGGAACTGTAATAAACATAAATCTCAGGAGGTGTTAGTGTAATTTATCCTATATTTTAATAAAACTTATTGGTCAAATTTGTTGTAAGAATTTTGTTGTTGAGCTTGTCTTTGGATGAGGGTTGATTTCAATTTGACGGAGGGAAGGAAAACTAATACAAAAAGGCCGTTTGTTTATTTATTTATTTATTCTTCGTTTTTGATAGATTATCCAATTCAATCCTCCAAAACATTAGATTGGATTGGAGTGATTCTACTTAAATCACTAGTTTATTTCTTTACGTCCTTTATATAAGATATATATGTGTGTATATATATATATATATATTTTAATATGAAAGTATTTTGAAGGACAAAAGACTAAAATTAAATATATTTTATTACTCCTTATATCCATTACTCTTCAATTCCTTTGCTCTTCTTCCCTTCTCAGTTTTTTTTTTTCTCTCCTATACATTTCTTTTCAAAAAGTGAGAATTATAATATTTTAATCATAGAAGAAAGCAATGGATGAAGAAATGTCGTTTCATTTTTTGAGAGAGTTCTTCGACTTTTGTTTGATGTGTCAAACATGAACAAAATATAATAGTTCATAATCACAATGTTGAACAAAAAATATGTCTAGTAACTCACTGCCGAATAAAAGATATATTTCCGATAACCCAAGATCGAACGTTTTTAATTTGTTTGGATACTCATTACAGTGTATTTTCAGTTTCATTTTTTTTTTTGTTTGTATTTTTTGTTTTTTTGCTTGAAAGGATTATGCTTCTATTTATTGTAGCAATGCAAGTACAATCATCTGGCTGCTAAACATTTTGAAAAGTACTCAATTGCTAGTAGATTATTTGAGGAAACATCCTTATTAGTTGACATGTTAAAGAGTATGGTGCGACCAAAAGAGATATTGATTACATTGAAACAAATGGATGTCTTTAATGCGACAACAATTAAGACAATCTTCAACGCACGTAAAGTGACAGGTGGCTAAATAAATGTATTTTAATACGGCAACATGACATTAGAGTAATTTAATTTGTATAGCAATATATCACTGAACAGACACGTCACAAATGGGCTACAACTAATTTCTTGTTAAAATAAAGTAAAATCATCCAATCGAACGGCAACAAATGATCGGAAAAAATTTATTTGTTTGGTAACACGAAACTTGAGTAATTCAAATTCTTTAACATTGTATTACCAAAAGTTATCTGTGTAAAAGAGATAAAACTGAAAGGGTTTTGAACAGTTTTTAGTTTAGGATTACTTTTGGTAGTATAATGGGTGTAATGAGAATCACATTTTTTTTAGTAGTGTAATGAGATGAAGAGTGTAAAGAGATAAACTAGTGGTACAAGTAAAATCACTCATTGGATTGCTAGGTGAGTATTTCTAACATTAAAGGAGACTTACGTGTAGGTTCTGATAGGTGAATTTATTGTTCAACATGTTTTATCATAATTAATGACATTTTTCATCAGATATTATTTTAAAAAGTCATTAATTGTTAATTTTCAGTGACAATTTAAAACTAGTCACAAAAAATGACATTAATTATAAGTTTTAGCGACAATTTAAAAAAATCATCACTAATTTTTAACTTTTAGCGATAGTTTTAAAAATTCGTCACAAAAAAAGTCTACAATTGTAAATTTTAGCAACAATTTATAAAAATCGTAACAAAAAAACTCGCTAATTATCAATTTTTAGTGACGTGCAAAAAATCGTCACAAAAAATTATTTTTAACGACGATTTTACTAAAACTAATTTTTAATAAGACTTGATGAAATTAAGTCAAACTATTAAAACATATTCATGTTAATTGAGACCAAGCCAAATACTTTAAGAAGGATACATGACTATTTTATTTAAAAAATAAGAAACAAAATGGTTGCATTGCGTTGTCTACTATTAAAATGGCATACAACAGTATTTGTATGGTGCAGTCGCTTATTTGAGCTGACTATAATTTATTTTATTTTGAGAGTTTATATCAGATTGTTTAGTATTATTTTTGCTTATAATTTATTAGGCATAAATAATTTAATAAAAATTGATTAATAAGAATAGGTGTTTTTAACTTCTATTTTTGGATTATTGACTTTTAACTTACAACAAGTTACACCAAACAGTATCGACATGTCTCATACACCAGATTTACCCAAAAAGAGAAAAAAAAAATTTAGAAGGGATAATTATTCAGTATTTTTAGAGTACTATGTGGTATTATTCACATAGTGCTTTTAATTAAGGGAAAATCACTCAACAGTGGGATAGAAAATAAATAACTAAATAAATAAATTACACAAATATAGAGGGTGCAACTCATCATTTTGTGATGGGATGCAATTCAAACTCTGTCTTGGTACAACTTTGAGTTGCACCCGTTAGGTAGTTGAGAGACAAGAAACAATCCACCACATTTATTTTGTGATTCCTGATATATAACAAATATCATATGATATTTTAAAACTATATTTACTATTTTTTATTTATATTTATAGAATTTTTGAATACTGTAAACAAAAACTAAATTAGTTTTTGTTTTCATTTTAAAAAAAATTGTAAAAGTTGGTTTCGCTTTCTGTTTAATTTTTATTTTCATTTCTTCTTCTTTCTCCAACTATAACTCGTTGCTCGTCGGCCCAGATCTACCCCGTCATTGCCTTAATTTTATTTATTAAATATATTTATATATATAATATGCATGTAATTTATTTTTTTAATATAATAAAACTAAAATATTAAAATATTATACTTAATATTCATTTTGACTCATTTATTTATCATATTACATCTTTTAACTCGTTAATTATAAATTATTATCTATAATATATTATATTATCTTTAATTTTTATTATTATTTTTTTATTTTTAAAGAAACCAAATTATCCCACCTCGCCCCGTCCCACTCTCGCCCCACCCCTAATATGACCTCCTTCATCAATCACTTTTGGCACCACCTCTCTCAACTGCTTACCACCTACCATCGCCACCAACTATTTCTCACTAGCGATAACTACTTTTGGCCACCACCTTTTCTTGAAAACCACTTTAGGCGGCCACTTTTGGCCACCACCTCTCTTAACTGCTAACCACCTGTCATTGCCACCAACCACCTTTCACTGGCGATAACTACCTTTGGCCACAACTTTTCTTGAAAATCACTTTAGGCGGCCAACCAACCACCATTTCAGAACATTGACAATCACTTTCAAACATAAGTATCTAGCCTCTTGTATAGCCTATTGTCAAGGGCCTGGCAAACGAAAGTCGTAGTTGCTCAACGCATCACCCCGATCAGGTTAAGCAAAGCGCTCCAACAACAATTCTTGTGGCTAGTAACCCGCTCTTGCCATTCCCAATTGCCTTTTACCGATGTCAAAAATTTCGACCACTACCTCCCGTGCCCAATAATCACCTCCAACCACCATCCAACCGTTGACAATCACTTCCCACAGCCTCATTCACTTATTTTCAAAATAAAATTTTAAAATACTTGTGCACCAAACATGCTTTTTACTTTTGTTTTTATCTAAAATAAACATAAACATGTTTAATATTTCGTAAATAAAAAATAAAAACCGTAAACGTTGCCAAACCACTCCCCAAGTGTATTATCACAGTATAGAGATTTGTAATCCTTCTAATCCAATCCTAGCAAACACATGTAGCTTGCACATACATACATAGTCGGAAAATTTTATGGTAAACATGTACATATTATATATTTTTGTGGTATATATTACGTGATTTTTTTTGGTAGAATCACAATAATTTGTTATTCAAAAATGAAATTATGCATTTCATGAAAATGTTACACATTTTTTTATTCAAACATCCTCTACCCAAAAAATGTGTAACATTATCAAAAAAATGTATAACATTATTTTTTAACTACAAATTGTCATAACTCTATCAGAAAAAAATAAGTAGTAACATTTATCACAAAAATACGTAACATGTAATATAAAAAATGTGTAACAATAGTATATATGATATATATACCTTTTCAGAGATGTATACCATAATACATCTGTGAATAATTGAGTATTTTAATTTACTTTGTCCCATAGTATGGAAATAGATAAAGAGACAAATATCTAAATTTGAACACCAAAACACAATTAATTATTTTGAAATATTAATAAAATACAACCACTGCATCAAATTATGTACACATATATTTTTATTTGCTAATAAATGTGATATTTTGCTAAAAATATCGACTTTATTGACAATTTTGAGTAAAATGAACTAAAGACAATAAAATTATTTAAATCAATGGTTCAAGAATTAAAGTGACACAAATTCAATCGTTTGACGGAGAAAAGTGGTTTTTTTTTTTTTTTTTTGAAGAACTCTGGTCAACTTAATTACATAAATGACTTGAGTTCAAGCTTGGTCTTGAAAACAAAAAATGATTGAACTAAAATTAATATGCACATTAAAAAAAAAAAGAACAAAATCAACGAAATATGAAAAATCTCATCTTATTAATAAACTTCATCAATTAAATATGTAAATTTACGCGAACACTAAACATAAAAAAGTAATAAAACGATTAATGAAATATATGATTATTTGAATCAAATTTGTACCTACCCAAACAAGACTCAATTACTAACTAAGCCTAAACATTTGGATCAAATTTATTCATTTAACAAACGAGCCGAACTATTTAAGAAGTAAGTGTGAGCCATGAACAACTCATTTTAATTGCAGCCTTATATGTATCTTATTGCAAATGTACTCAATAATGTTATAATGACAAAATTTGACTACCAAATTCTAAAAATCATATGATATCTATTAATACATTAGTTTAAAAAGTCTCATCATTTATACCTCATATCCACGTGGATGACACATTAAATGAAATCAAAAAATCAATACGTAAATTTAATCACTATAACATTACTTTTGACATCCATTTTACTTTAATACCTTATTAACTCTAAGCAATTTTTTTAATCAAATGGTAAAAAATAAATTGTGAATATTATAACAAAAGATTTTTATTTTAAGATCTCTAATATTAAAATTTTATAAGACGAATCACATACAATATTTTTATAGTAGTTGGAATCCCTTAACATTTTCACAGAGATTTTGACATAGAAATTTTGGCAAAGAGAAATTTTCATTCGTCACGAAAAAATTTCAACTCTGTTACAAGTTGAAATTTCTCCCTGACAAGTTAAAATTTCACCAATATTATTAAGAGGGACCTTAACTAATAAGAAAAAATATATTAGAACCCTACTACTACTAAAAATTAGAGAAAGATATATCACTAATTTTCTCTTATAAGAATTATGCTAAATTTGACATTCGATTAAGAAAAAAAAATCCAACATAACTCTATACAACAAAAAGGGAAAAATACAAAAAAGACAATACATACACATAGGGGTATATAGGAGAATATAGGAGTGCACGTGTCAGTTTGGTTTGAGTTGGAACCAAACCTAAACAACTAACCCAATGTAACTTGGGTTAGTTAGGATTGAACTACGGTTCCACTACGTTAAAAATTAGTGAATCAATCAACAATAAATTATTAAAATAAATAAATCTTTTTGAACATTTTTTTAAACATAACACAAACAAAGTAAAACAAAAGACTATTTAAAATTTAATACAAGTCAATAAGTAGAAAAAATCATGTCATGTTAAGTAGATTATGGGAATAAGCCAATATGAAAAAATAAATTATAAGTCAATTTAAAAATATTTAAATAAATTATCTATTTTTATGTTAATGAGTTATTTACATGAAGATAAGAAATGAATTTTAATTAATCCTAAATGTAAACATATATAGAATTTTATACAATATATATACACAATAATACCACAAACTCAGAAATTTTACTTAAGACATTTATTAAGAAATATCAATATGTAGTTCAGATTACACAATCAAACTCCACCACACGTTAATTCTTCACACAAATCTGCGACTATATCATGGGTTTAGTTCGGGTCTCGGGCTAGTTCAATTCGGTCATAGGCTAAATCAAAACCCAACTCAATCCTATCAGGTTGATGATTTTAAAACCCAGAACTTAACCAATGTATCAATTCTTCAACTTACTAGGCATTTTGAGCACCTAGGTGGAGAGGCAAATCCTAATCACCTACTCTTAGCCAACATGATACCCACATTGGTTAACTTAAAACTGGCCTGCCTGAAAAAGGGATGGAGTTCTGTTGCAGATAACATATGATAATGAAAACCAATATTGGATCAAAAGTTATAAAGTAAAAAGGCCAAGTAAAAAGAAGCTGGAATTTGGATGCTCAATTGAACCTTTTTGCAGTTATTTTTTTAAGAAATAATATTTAAGACATGAAAGGACAACCCCAATATATAATAAATCCCCACCCACCCCACCCCATAAAAGAAAAAAGAAAAATAATAACAAAAATAGTTCTGCAAATTGAAAAAGAAAAAAGAAAAGAAGGTGGTATTCTAAGAAGCACTTCTAGACATGAATTTTCTCCTAAAAACCCCAGATCCACAAATGAGCATCCCTGTCCTAAATAAATTTATCTAACCTCAATGATCGCTTCAGATCTGGCGAGCGGAATTTCTCAAGCTTCAAACTAGGGCTCGTGCAGATCTCATTCACGAGAGAGTCTCCTTTCTCGGATTTAATCGTCTCTAGGATCGTTCCAACAACTTCAGCTGCAAGCCCTATCTCCACAAGACGGCCTTGCTCCTCCCCACCTTCATATATCAATTGTCCGATTTCTGGAAATGGAATCACATTTTCTAGTATGACTTTTGCAAAGATACGACCGAGAAATTCACCTGCCATCGGGGCATCATTTACAGCATCCTCCAAAGTAGCAAGAACAGATTCAAACCTGAACAAAATGAAATGTCAGACACAGATTCAACCTTATATTAAGACACAAAGTCTTTTTTGTTTACCCTCTGATGAGATTATCTTGATTTAACGTGCCATCCTGAGGTTTTGATAGGTCGATGAGTAATTTAGCCAAAAGATCCCTCTCCAAATGCTTCCTCTCGAAAGAATCAGTGACCCAGATGGATACCATTGTGGGATGAAAGCTGGGGGCATTTAATTCTTTTACACAAAGAGCAACTTCCTTCTCATCTTTGGCACTGAAAATAGACGGAAAAAAAAAAAATTATGTATCAGAGAATAGTAATAGCTGTAAAAGAAACGGATCCTCCATTCTATCACATATACAGTACAGAACAAAGTAGTAGATTTGATCCAAATATATATTGAACAAAATCAATTGCTAATTAACATTATATGTTTTCTTCACTATATCTATCATCAAACCAACAACGTCAACTTTAACCAAACTAGCTGATCAGAACCCATCCCATCCATTAGACGTCAATCACAAGAAAGGTATAGATGCCCTGAAGGCTGAAACCACATGGACAAAAGAAAATGATAGGTTTCCTTCTGACATTTAACGAGTAAAGATGACATTCACAACTTTGAAATTCTTACCATACAAAAAAAGAAAAAGAAGACCTCTACTTATGCTATATTTGGTTGGGGGATTTAGGGGAGGGATTTGGAAAGGGAAAAGGAAAAAATGGGGGGGGATTTGGAAAGGAAAAAGAAAAAGGTGTGTGAAACTAGGTGTACATTTCACCTACCTTTTCCATTTCTCTTTCCAAATTCATTCTCAAATCTCCCAATTAAACACAGCATTAAATTTGCATTGACATGCATTAAGTGATAAGTGCAGAGTACTGGAACATCCCCCACTGCAAGCATAACTAATTGAACCAATCAGTGGACCTCATCAGTTTATAAGTGCTTGCACTGTTTTTCAAACCTTTATACCGACCAAAACCATGAGGGAGAAAAAAGAAAAATAATAAGCATGTTGCCAAAAGAATGCCTAAGAAGCACAGATACAGATACGATACAGATATGGCGATACAACAAAACTTATAGGATATGGGTATGGCAAGAGCCGAGGATACATTTGTAAAAAAATAAAATAAAATAAAAAAATTAAAATTAATAGTAGTGAGTTACACATGAGCTCAAGAATGTAAAGAAACCACATTGTATTTTTATAATGCAAAATATTAATATTTAAGAATTAAGTATTAATTTAAGCCTTTTCAAACCTTTATACCGACCAAAACCATGAGGGAGGAAAGAAAACTAATAAGAAGCATGTTGCCAAAAGAATACCTAAGAAGCACAGATAAGATACAGATACGGTGATACGACAAAACTCATAGGATACAGGTATGGCTAGAGCCTAGGATACATTTGTTTAAAAAAAAATAAAAATAAATTAATAGTACTGAGTTATACATAAACTCAAGAATGTTACGAAACCACATTGTAATTTTATAATGCAAAATACCAATCTTTAAGAATTAAGTATTAATTTAAGCCTTTAGCTAGTTTATTTCTTAAATTTCAATAGGTTTTACAAATATTTCATTATTAAGTCTAATAAGTTTATATTACAATAATAGAATAATCCACATGAACTTGTACATTAGCCAAAAATATTGTTTGCAAGTTTACTTGCTTATTTATGGGTTAATTACAAAAAAAAAAAAAAAAAAAAAAAAAAAAAAAAAAAAAAAATCACAGGGTTTCGCGTGTTTTTCACTCTAAACCCTAGTGTTTGAATTTCGACAAATTAAATCTTGGAATTTCATCTGTGTTTCAATGCGCCCCCTTTGTCCATCTTCCTTCAGCAACGCACATAATTTTTATAATCAAATCCACATGTTGAAACCCTTGTATCACCCTCATCAAAACTCTGTTTCGTCTCATTTTTGCGTTGTTGGATTCACCCCATGGCCTAGTTTTCATTCCATTCCCCGTATGCCTTGTTCCACCTCTTTTTGTGTGCCATCGGAGCTCCAGAAGTTGATAAGATTTTTCTTCCCGTTTCCAACTTTTCCTCAAGCCATCTTTCAGACTCCATAACTTTCTCAATTCTTAACGGTTTTACTCCGTTCTCTTGCCAATCTCTTCACCTCACTTCCTACTTCGTCTACACTACCTCGCTTTCTTACTTCTCTCCGAAATGGGTGGTTCTAGTATACTGAAAGTAACCCAAAAACCAACTTCAAAAATTCCAAAAACTTCTCTCTTTTGTTTCTTTCTCCTCCATCTTCCTTTTTCACCTATAACATGTTGTGAATGTTGGTTCCAGGTTTTGATAGAGCTGGGCAATGGCGGCGGCAACAGTGGTAGCGAAGCTCACAGTTAATGGAGGTGATTACGGGGATGGTGATGTGGTGGGTTAAAAGTGGTGGTGATGGAGTTTGATGGCGGAGGTGAGGTTGAGAGGTGGTGATGATGAAGCTCACATGGTGGTGGGTCGGTGGTTCGTGTGGTAGATGACGAAGTGAACGATCAACCCACCAACCCAGCACCATGTAAGCTTCATCATCACCACCTCTCAACCTCACCTCCGCTATCGAACTCCGTCACCACCACTTTTAACCCATGCCATCACCATCCCCATAATCACCTCCTTCAACTGTGAGCTTTGCTACCATCATTGCCACCGCCGAATTACCGCCACCACCACCGCCCAACTCTGTCAAAACCTAGAACCACCATTCACAACATGTTATAGGTGAAGATGAAGAAGAATGAAGATGGAGGAGAAAGAAATAAAAGAAATAAGTTTTTAGAATTTTCGAAGTTGGTTTTTGGGCTACTTTCGGCATACTGAAACCACCCATTTTGGTGAGGAGTAAGAAAGCAAGGTAGCATAGGACAAAGTAGGAAGTGAGGTGAAAAGATTGGCAAAACAACAAAATAAAACCATTAAGAATCGAGAAAGTTATGGGGTATGAAAGATGCCTCGAAGAAAAGTCGAAAATGAGAAGAAAAATCTTACTTTTAGTTTACTTTCGAAACTCCGACGACATGCAAAAAGAGCTGAAACAAGACATATGAGGAATGGAATGAAAACTAGGCCATGGGTTAAATCCAACGCGGCAAAAATAAAGCGAAACGGAGTTACGATGAGAGAGATACAAGGGCTTCAATAAGTGGGTTTGAATATGAAAATTCTATGTGCTGCTAAAGGAAGAAGATGAACGAAGATGGACGGAAGGGCACATTGAAACATGGATGAAACTCCGAAGTTTAATTTGTCAAAATTGAAACAGTGGGATTTAAAAAACACGCAAAACCCTAGGATTTTTTTTTTTTGTAATTAACCCTTTATTTATTGAAATTTGCTATTGTTATATTCGTTTGTTAATACTTACTTTCTATATAATTATATGGGACATGCATGATACAATAAGAATACACCAATTTGACAAATTCGATAACTTTTAACTCACTATGTTCTTATCAAAAAACTAAGCAAAGTATTAAAAAAATATTATTGTATTTATCCTCACAATTAAGGTATATTATAATGCTATGCAATAAATTTCATAAAACAAATAATACGTGACTTGAAGTATCTGATACTTTAAAAATAAGTATCTAATACTTCAAAATTAATTAAGAAATATCCAATACATATCTGAGAGTATTCAAGGAGAATCGGTATCTGATTACAGATACGTCTCCCTTTTAGAAGTATCCATGCTTCATAGAAGAATGCATACCTAGTGAGCTAAGAAGCACAGACACTTCTAAAAATGTGACGTGTCCATGTCGTGTTCACGGACACCGACACTAATCAGAAACTTTTGACATGTGTCCCCGACACTTATCCAAACGTGTCCTAATTTTTAAAAAAGAATTTAGACTCGGACACTCTTCAGATACTCTTTGGACACTTGAACGACACGTGTCCATTGATTAGACGCACAAAACTAACTATAAGTTTAAACAAAATAACTTAAAATATGATGATAAAAAAAATAATGTCCATTTGTGAAAATTAGTGTTATATTGCATTTATTTATTGTTTTAGAATGATATATTCATATATATGACATATAATAAATACATAAAATTATATATTATGTGTGTCCCCCCACGTGTCGTGTCTTGCATTTTTTAAAAATTAACGTGTTGGTGTGCCCGTGTCCGTGTCCGTGCTTCGTAGCTAGCGAGCATGCAAAAAACATATGATAGCTGAAGGATTTGAGTAGGAAAGAGAAAATATGGAATTGAGAAACCAAGTTTAAATTCCTTGATGGTGGGAAAAAAACTTTCTAAAATGCAAACTTTTTATTTAGAAGAAAAACTTTTCATGCATAAATTTAATATAAAAGGAAGGTGTTACTCAAAATAGTGTAGGCTCTAGAAATTCAAACTCTTATCAAGTCCTAATCTGAATTTTGAAGCATAGGATGAGATATAATATATACACATGCATATTCAACCAAATATTTTAACTTCTGCATAACATGGGTATTGCTTAAAAAGAAGAATCTGAAAATAAATTGTATATTATTGGAAACAAAGTTCGACCTGAAGCAGTTGATAATATTTATAGTCGTCCTCGACGAAATATCAATCATAGGTTCAAAATAATGTTATAATTTAAAAAAATGTCATTGAACTGATTTTTCAAGCACAAATAATATACTTTACCATTCCACCTTCTTTTCTTCTAATGAAGAGTAAGGCTAAGTTTGGCATAAAACAAAAAAGTCAAAAAGTCGAAAAGTCGCTATCCTATTTAAGTCATATTATCTTATTTAAATCACATCACC